CATATTTACGGAGAAGTGTCATTCCGATACCCGTGGTTCACTGAGTTAATACCTATCGCTTCATCCCAGCTTGAACTTAGAAGCCCTTGTTGCCCTATCACTTATGGATACCACCTTTATTTTGTCATGATGTTTTGCTTGAGGACAAGCAAAGGTTTTAGTGTGGGAGAATTTGATAGACCTAAAATATACTATTTATTTGACTCAATTCACACATGTTATTTAGGATTTTATCTCTGTTTTCTTGTATTATGCCTCCATTTTGTCTCTTTTTCAAGATTTTATATTTTCAGAGCTACTCAAGAAGAAATGAAAAAAAATAAGCAAAAAGATCAGCTTTTCAGGAAATTGTACACATGGCACTCACCATGGCGGATGCCATGACTTGGATAAGAGACCAACTTCTGACAACTGCCACGTCTCCCACTTCTTTCCACTCTAGTACACATGGCGGGCGCCATGAGGGTATGACGGGCGCCACCCTTGTATTCTATTTTCCCTCCCAAAAGAAGTTGGGGGGCATTCTAGTCTTTCCCTGTACTTTCCTAGCATTATAAATAGAAGAGTTATGCCTCATTTCTAAGGATCCAAGTTTAGTTACAGAACTCAAGCCATAAACTTCCATCTGTTGTAAAGTGATAAACTTCTTACATCGGGTAGTTATCACATTGTCTAATCGAGTCTGTAATCGGGTTTGGAGCATTTTGGTAGAAGTTAATCCTGCCGCCATTTTATTTAAGTCTTTACTTTAAGTTGTACCAAGATTTAAAACCTCCTGTTTGGAGTAGGTTTCTATTTATTTTTCGCTTTTACTTATCCGCATTTATTTCATGCACTTTATTTACTCGCACTTTATTTCCTGCACTTTATTTCCTACACTTTATTTACTCTCAATTTATTTACCCCCCTTATTTATCGCACTTTATTTACCATGTCTATTTATGTTTCCATGTTCGGCTAAATCTTAGAGGTTAGGATGTGAGGATCATAGTTAAAAGTGATATTCTATACGGTTGTCGATAGAATCACTTAGGGTTTATTCTGACTTTTAATACATATTTTCTGCACTTAAAATCTGTTGAGTAAGATCGAAAGCCGTCAAACCTTTAGATAAATTTGGTTATTCTTAACTGTTCAAAGGAAGCGAAATCGCTTAGTCCAGTTAAGTAGGAATCTTTAATGCTTTAGAAAAACGATTTTAAAACTATTTCCGGACGCGTTTATGGATTTAAAGTCCGGTTCGCAAGAACCTCTTTTTGTTAGAAATTCTAGGTCAAAATACTTTTCATCTAAGTTAAGAAACTATATTTCTTAAAAATAGGTTTAATCACTCTAACGCATGCACGCCTTTTTATAAGTGACAATAAGAGGGATTGATTAAAGGATAAACTTGGTTCTGAATACGCGAAAGTGATAGTTCCCGTTAAATTAGTTCTTTTCATGAGTAGAAAACATTACCCCTTAAGAAGTCTATTTGTACGCATTTGGAATATTGCCTAGCTATGTGAATTACATCCAAGCCTGCTATTTTATTATTGAAATTATTCTCGCACTTTACTTTTATTTCGCACAACCCAATTCCAAATTGACTTACCTTAGATAAACATCGTAACAAAAATAATCGATAGATTGATGTTTGGTCTCTGTGGGATCAATAATCTTTTATATTACTCTGACGCTATTCGTGCACTTGTGAATCACATCATCAACATGCCTAACCTCAAATATGTGTTCAACAAACACCCTACATTAACAGACATATAGAGACTGCTGTTCAGCATAAGAGACAATAGCAGACATAATACAATATCAAACATAGTACATTAGACATACCTCACAATTCATAATTTGGTGTGACTACTGGTTTTATCAACCTTCCTTCTTATATTAGGCAAGACACCATCATTAGCCAGATTTTAAAACCTCGTTCTATTTGTTGCCCATCTTTCCATACAATATGTTCTTATCTCTTCCACCATTGTCACTAAGGGTTTGGACCTTGACTCAAGTATAACACTGTTGAAATATTCTGACATGTTATTGAGTACAACATCACATTTGTTAATTCCTCTAAAATATGATCTACTCCAAAATCTTGGAGGTGTCTTCATCATATGGAGATAGGCTTCTTCATTGATCAGCCTTATCCCCTTTATCTCTCTTTCCCAAGCTTGTGCATATGTTGATATAACAACTTTCCAAATTATTTCCTTCAGCATCTTCCCAAGATATTTCTTTATGAAATTGTTATACAAGTGCCTGACACAAGACCTTTGCTCAACATTAGGAAAAAGTTCATCCATGGTTGGTATTAAACCCTGCAACAGAGCAAACAACATAAATACAAAGCATAACAGAAGTCAATGAATTCAATTTAATAATGTTCGCATACCTTTTTTTGATCTGAAATGAATGTGTATGTGAGACATTCATTTTTTCCTCCAAGGTCATCAATCAATAACTCCAAAAACCATGTCCAACTGTCCCTATTCTCCCCTTCCACCGCTACAAATGCTATAGGTAGCATTTGATCATTTGGATCCCTACGTATAGCAGCCAAAATTTGCCACCCGCATAGCCCCTTAAGAAAACAACCATTAAGTCCAACATGCCTAGAAAACTTGAAGCTTTCCTTACATGTTGCGAAGCATATATACTACCTTTTGAAATATGGTATTTGATCATCTGAATCTTCTTGAGTAGGTTCAACACCAAGCTTCACTGTGGATCCTGGGTTTGCTCTTAACAAATCATAACAATAATCATATATTATGGTGTAATCCCCTAAGAAAGATCCATCAACCATATCTCTAGCTTTAAACCTTTCTCTAATTGCCTTAGTTTTGTTCACACATACATTCCATTTCTTTTGTTCATTTGCCTTTATATCCTTTATTTTCATCATAAGATTGGTTTTTAATGAGTTTTAGATCCTCTTGCTCAGCCACTTGGTAGTAACCATCTTCACATTATAATCCCTGCTACAACTATGTACATCATTCACCTTTCTTAATTGACAAGATTCTTCATTTGACAATTTGGCACAATAAGCTTCCCAATCATATCCATCCTTACATTTCACCCTCACCCTTACCTTGTCATTTTTACTAAACTTAAGATTTCTACCACTATGGACAACATATGATATTATTACCTCCTTGAAATTATCTTTTGAGCTAAAGTACACCCCTACCTCCCATTTGAAACCAACCATGTCCTTTTGTATCTTAAACATTGGGTGAGCCTTTTTATGAACACCACAATTATCATCACTATCACACCCACTCACCAGATCTTCACTTTCATTATCACTCCCTTTAAGTTCACCCTTGTCTTCTTCACATTTTTTTTTGGATTCTCCCTTTTCATGTTGTTCATGTTCAAGTAGATTTTCCAACTCATCTTCATCTATATCATCATACCCATCATACCCATCATTTTTATTGATTGCTTTTTCATACAATTTAGAAAGAACTTCTTTAACTACATCAGGCTCCTCATTGACATTGACAATATTTTTTACTTCTGCTTCTATAGGCTATTATAATAATCAGGATGATCAAGTGTATGTTGAATATAAATGTCTACACCTAGGTGAGCCTATAAAGATCAACTATTTATAATGCTCCTACATCATCAATCAATGCATTCATCCCAAATGTCAGGTCATTGTAATATATTTTCTCAAAATCCCTATAACCTAACTCCTTCAGCTCACCTATCAACTCATAGTAACTCCATTTGTCAACATCTACTTCCAACTCATCAACTTTCCCTCTTCATACACTCTAAGATCACCATCAACGAATTCACCACTATGATGAATTCTTAGTACTATAAACTCATCTATTGCACCTAGTTAGTTCAAAATCGAGGTTATTAAATAACAAATTTCTCAGATTGAAAACCCTAATTTCTACCACGCCCTAAAGCTATAAAAAGCATGTAAACCCCTAATTTATAAAAAAAAATTAATTTCTCATATTGAAATCATATAGAGCATAAACTTTATAACCTGTTTGCAATGATGCTTTCAACTTTAGGAATGATGGACTTCAACTTCCCTTGACTGCGCGATGTTTTTCGTTGCACGTTTGTTCTTCATTGCGTGAAGCTTTCTATAAATGAATATGTTCACAAATGGAAAATGTAACATAGACACATGCCACCTAAGATAAAATATAACACGTAAGCCATCAACCATGTCACACGGACACTCTTTCTGAATCCTCACTAACAAAAACAGATAGAAGGACAAACGTGTTCCGTTTTTAATACCTAAGGGATCAATTTGAACATTTTAAAAATTAAGGGAGCAAAATGAACCCCATACTAAAATTACGGGACAAAAAAAGAATATTTTACCATATAGTCTTATACATTTATACCGGATTTATTCAAAAATAATATATGATACATATATTTGATACCGAATATTTTACAAATCAATATAAATGCATACATTTAATGCATTTATTTCAAATTTGTCAAGATTTTGAATAAAATCCAATATAAACTTAAACCAAAAAAAAATTCTTACTTGTCAATATCAGGGCATTTCCAAACAAATTAGGATGCTACAAAGTTTTTTGAAAAGTATAGAAGCACAACTATATATAGATAAGTACAGCCCAAGGGCTAGACAATCCAAGTTAAGCTTTAGGTTTCTAAATAATTTTTTAATTGAATTGTTTGAAGAGAAGACTTCATTTTTCCATAAAACTTTAATTTTAAAAGACTTTATTATACAAATTGTTTTAGATATATATGACGATCAATGGACTGTTCATCAAATAAAAAGTCAACATTGATTTTTTTTTCAAAAAATATTGAATTCATTTATATACAACAGGCAGTTTAGTAAAGTCAGATACAAAATATATACATTAACTACACTAACAATTCTTCTTGTGAAAAATCCATAAGAAAACAACTATTCCTTTCGTCCCTTTTTATAAAGACCTTACATATATTATATAAAGGGATGAAGGAAATAGTTATTATTTTCTAATGAATTTTTCTTTTTTTTGAATGAATTCCCTTAATTCTTTCTTATCATTTGACCTTGAAGGAGAAAGAACAATGTCATTCCAAACAGAACCAGGTCTGACAGCATAGTTGTATTCATTATATAGTTCATAGATGGAATCTGCTTCAGTATTCACATTGCTTACGGTGTTCAACAATTTGAGAACTTCAGGATCCACTTGGAGGTTTTTGGAATCATTCTTCCACTCTATTATCTGTAATATGCAGTACAACTAAGTTTACCATTTTGCCATATTAATGCTAATAATGACCAAAAACCACCACTTCATCAAAAATATTATGCAAATTGTTTGTTACCTTTGGTGGACCACCAACAACATTTGTGCAATAGAGCCTAGCACTGTCAACAAGTTTGCAGTATCTTGGAAAGGCATTAGCGAATTTTTTGTGAGATTCCAATTGTGATTTCACCCTCACTGCCCTTTTGGTCACAATAGCTCTTCTGTCCAAATTTCAATGAAAAATGTTAACTATCATGTCTACAAAATCCATTTACAATTTAGCAAGTTAGCTGAATTCACGGGCAACTATTACCTAATGCCTCTAATGACAGCAAGATAGGCATCACAAACCACACCAACTAGAACAATTTTGTAAGGCTTTCGAGTGTGCTGTTCCGCCCTATAATTTTCCTCTGGTTGGTGTTCTTCTACTGGCTCATTCACTTGCTCCCAGTAATTTTCAGTAATTGTCCCATCTTTAGCTTCTCTATATCCTGGCCCCATTCGATACGTATGTTTGTGAACATTTCTTGCCATAGCAATAGTTTGCTCTAGAAAAGGCTCCCATGCTAAGGTACTATCCATGATCACATCTCGCCCCTTATTTAAAGCTGTCACTAGCAGAGATGATGCAGCATCAGTGGAAGTCTGATGCACCTGTTTAGATTTGGATGACAAGCTAATTAGGGAATACACTGAAAATAGTAACATGAAAGTTTCAGACATTAGAAGCATACCAGTTCAGCACTTTGAAGCATTTCATCATGGCGGCCCTTAGAGTTAAGAGCTCTATATATGATATCACTCTCCTTAAAAGCATCTGCTTCAACGACCACAACATTTGAAGCAGCTTCTGACCAAAACGGTCTGCCAAAACCATTTAATTAGGTGCGAAACAAGGAAGGGTGCCAAAATTTAACACATGTCATAAGATCAATTTTTTTCTTATTTTGGATACACATGGTTCATATCATTTGCAACAATTGGAATTGAATAATGATCTATTATATGGAAGAAGTAGAGTTAAGGTGATAGTTACTCTCTAAGAATGTCTTTAAGAACAGTGCTTTTTCCAGATCCCATGCCTCCACCCATAAGCAGCAACACTGGACTCCTCTCGCTCTGGACAATGGAGACCTTGACATCACAACTTTGAGAGTCGCCCTTTATTGCTTTAATCTCTTCAACCAATGTAGAGAACACTCTTGCCACCTTTAGTTTCTTTGTTACTCTCTCAAACCTACGTTTCCTATAAACATAGCATAGCACACCATATTTAATTACTCTAACTTATTCAGTCTTAATCATTAATATCTCAACTTACATAATAATAATAATAAAATGCCCATTTCTTATGCCATCCTAGATAAGTGAATACTAGTAGTAAATAATAGCATTTTGAATCTTTTATTATACAATGGTGTGGCAATTCCTTGTACCAATTAGAATTAAAAAAAAAAAAGACATTTTAATTACTCTATTTTTGAAAGGTTAATTTAAAGCAAAGTGTGAACGGATTATTAACTGGTACTGATGTGTAAAAGAAATTTACACTATTGGTCTAATAATCAACAGATCATAAACTTTGTTTGGCTTGAATTATAGTTACTTAAAAAATCATGGATATGGTTTTCTATAATTGACTTGGGGAGTAAAAATATTTACACTAACATTGCCTTAAAATTCGGTCTTAGGCTCTCTTTGTTATTAAAAAAAAAAACATTGCATCAAAGTTAAACTCAAAATTAGATATAAGTTTACCTTGTGGCTTCCAAAAGAATATTTTTGAGATTTATTTTCGGCTGAGACTGAGTACTTAATACCTATGATTAAGACAATTAAAACATAAATATATTAACATACATTTATCTATGTCAAATAAACAAAAGCAGGTATCATCTTAATAGTTAATATAAATGAATTGGTGTTTTTATCAAAGAATTATGTACCTGACTAATGATAAATGAAGCTCGGTTCCAATGAAAAGCAAAATAACTGAGGATGCATCTTTCAAACTCATCAATCAATTTTACATATAGCGTGTTAGCGTCCTCTCCATCGGCTAAATATTGATATATACTTTCTTTACACCCTTCTGAATTTCTCAAGTAGTCCTGTGCCAATCTGCACAACTCAGGAACTTCACTGGCATCTACAAATCCCATTTGTCTAGCTGCAAAGACAAATGACAAATGGTCAAGTAGCCATGGTATCAATTCGACAATTAAGACTAGTATTTTTTTTATTTTTTTTTTGCGATTTTCTTCATATTCTGCTATTCCTACTAACTAGCCAGAGAAATTAAGGGTAAAGAAGAAAAGTTACCAACATAGTGAGAGAAAATCTCAAGCTTGGCAACACGGCCTGACTCCGTTTGATGCAAGTAAGGAACGATCTTTTGCTGGTCTACCATCGCTGAATTCTCGCCGATCAATCCAACGATGGAGGCTGCCATAACTTGTGCGAGGTTGTTCATCACATTACCAACACTATTAGCGTTACCATCTGAGAATAAAAAAAAAAAAAAAAAAAAATTTAAACTGACCGTAAGGTGTTTGTGTAAATGCGTAAACCAAAATCACTACCTTGAAGCTGCGTGTTAGATTCAGAAATAATCATAGATCGATGTTGGGTGATTGATATGAATAGAAAGGGGAATTGGATGGATGAATAAATAGATTTATCTTGAAATATAAAGAATGATAAAAAGAAGACTGCCACTGTGATTAATGGTCTGGCCAAACATGTTCATCATTATGAGTGACTTCTTGGAAAAAAATGGCCACTTTGTTTTTTTGGATTGACTGTAATAAAGAGCTCTGATTTTAAAGCATCCCACGTCTCCCGATGACGTACTCATATTTTATAGTGGAAGGAATTGACCACGTTTTTACTCTGTGATTGCATGATTGCTTCCACTTACTCTCCTATAACTTAGTAATTCATATTCTTGTGCAAACATATAACTTTGTATTTATAGACATTTCCTAGGTTTTTCGTATAATTTTAAGATATGCTTTTAAATTTCTAATAAACGTGTATTCTACCAAATTAAAATGACATTTTAAAATTAGTCACATTTTGTTTAATGGAGATGTGCATTACTAAGGTAAAAAACTTATATATATATATATATATATATATATATATATATATATATATATATATATATATATATATATATATATATATATATATATATATATATATATATATATATATATATATATATATATATATATATATATATATATATATATATATATATATATATATATATATATATATATATATATATATATATATATATGATCTGACCTGATCAGAAAGGGATCACTGGCAGGCCTCATGCGGTTGGACTGCCACCTGTTCACCGGTGATGAGGAGAAGGAGGGGGTGTACCTGCAAGACACTCCAATGCCAAAATAAGTAGGGGCAAAGTGATCACAAGCACAAAAAAGGGGTAAGAAGTGAATTACCTGACCCTCTTGTGAAAGAGGGTATTTATAGAGAGACCCCAATGCTGGGCCACCGGTCACTTGTGTTGGGCTGGATTGTCAGGCCCAACCCAGGTGACTGCTAGGGCTTACGTGGCGTAGTGAAGATCAGGATGTGGTCTTCGCCTAGTCCAACCGTCCCGTGATCTCCGGAAAGTGGGTTTGACCTGCTCTTTCGGAGGTGGGCAGTTGGTCGGTGACGTGTCCCTGCAGAGGGGAGCACGTGGAGAACGTGTGAAGGACATGTCGTCTTGCCCGACAGGGGTGGGTTCTGCCCGCTGAGGGCGGTGTTTGGTCGTGATGGGAGTTTCCTGCCCGACGTGGTTAGGGCAGGTCCTTCTCGCGGGGAGACCATTCCTGCTCGTCGGGGACCTGGTGCCCGACCTCGTGACCCAAGCTGGTCTGAGTTTGGTGGAATATTATTGGCTGGGCCCGTGTGGTCAGGCCAGTGCCCAGGCCAGAACAATATATATATATATATATATATATATATATATATATATATATATATATATATATATATATATATATATATATATATATATATATATATATATATATATATATATATATATATATATATATATATATATATAAAAGTAATTTAAAAAGTTAATCTAATTTTGTGAAATACATTATTGTTATTGGTTGATAATATAAAATTAATTTATATTGTTTGTGCATTATCTCTTTTCTCTTATATTTTAAATTATAATTTTTTTTAAATAACCAAAATTTTCAAATAAAATGTCCAAATAACCAACATTCTAAATTATTTATCAAACTAACCATGTTTCAAATAAAAAAGTTGTTACAAAGAGGACGCGCCATTGGTAATGGCGCATGCACTCAAAATTAGCATAAGGCGCCATGCCCATTGACGCATGCATGTTGGACATGCTAATGTCTATGGCACATGCATTGTTGCCCTAAAAGGATGTGTCGTTTCCTCTGGCGCATGCATGTTGGCCATAAATAGAGGCGCCTTTCTCCTGCCGCCTATGTTCAACTATTTTTTTATATATAAATAACTCATTCTCTCTCCACCATTTGCTACCCATCTTTTCATTCTCTTTTTAAATTTTTCTTCAAAATGTCTTATATCATTAAAAGAAATACTAATTTGTTTTATTCAAAAGTAAAGCCTCCGAAGAATATTAAACTTTAAAACACTAAGACTTTCGAGCATCTTGAAAGGAGCTTGATCTGTTGGTTAGACGGGGGCATTGAAGACGGTGAGTTTATAAACAGAAAACAGTAGGTTTGAAGTTATTGTAAACAGAGAAATTGAAGACATCTTGAGAGGATCTATTTTGCTACGACCCAGAAAGCTATTGTTGTACACATTGCATATGTTTATGACTTTGTAAACGAAAAATAGTAGGTTCGAAGGGTCCTAACAAGCATGTGAACATGCTGCTATGACATGGGTGCAAGAAATACTAAAGGCTTGAAAATTTCTGCAATTGCACCTACCTCTTGTTGAATTTGATTGAAAATATACAAGTTAGTACTCTTTATATTGGAGTATGATTGTTAGTGAAGACAATGAAATTTTATGTATTATTTTCAATCAAGGTGGAGATTATTGGGTTAGGTCGAAAATATACATGTTGAAGAAGTCCCACATCACTTAGTTTTGTGAATGAAGAGAGTCCAATGTTATATATAGGATTCAAGTTCTTCATTCCAAGATGCACCAGTCAAAAGCACTTTGAGCTTGTATTTGACTTTCTTTGTTCTCTTATGCTCTTGTATTAGAATATTGTGAGATGTAGTTAAATATTTATTTTGGAGGGCTTGAGTTAGTTGAGGGTATATTATGTGTTGTAACAATTTTTGCATAGTGTTATTCTCTGGTTTTCTATTGACAACGGCTGTGGTTTTTTCTCAGGTTTTGAAGTTTCCACGTTATGTTCTTGTGTTGTGATTGTGTTCCTCTTTTTTCTCTATGCTTATTTTTTTCTCAACACCTTTATCTAGTTCGACCTGATAGTATCCCTTGGCATCCCTTCATTATGGTCCATTGTCTCCTATAAAATGAACCAACCTTTACGACGGTCAAACATTGTAACCACATGTGTGTTAGCTTTGGCGGTTTTCTCTTTAATCAATTCCATAAAACTTTCAATGAAAAATTGCCCCGATTGTACATTGAACTCCAGTTTGAACCTTTGGTCTCAAACAGTGACCCTAACCTAAAATAGGTTGCTCTCACCAATGCGGTTATCAGTAGGTTTCTGATTGCTTCGAAAACAGAGTTCATTAATTACACAAAATTTATTGTCATGTGGCCCCATCGTTGACTATTGTCGAATGCCCTGGTCCACTTGTCCATTAGAATATTATCGATCCACCTTAATACATCTGCCTTTTTCAACCTGATCTCTTCATGGTAGTGTTAGAACGTTGGTTCTGTTAATGCACACCTTTCGTTCACAACATTTTTCCAAAGTGTCTTGTCTTTGATCTCTCACATGAAGTTTTGTGCGATGTGTCTAATGTAGTAGACATGCATAGAAGGAGGATCTTGCCAACCGTTATCAAGGTTATTGTATGCACTCTCAATAGATGGATGTCTGTCTGGAATCAAACATAGGTTGGATTGCGGAACAATGTGTAGTTGGAGATTCTTGAAAAAGAAACTCCATCCACCAACATTCTCCCCTTCAACAAGGGCGAAGGCAATCAGAAAACTATTGTTGTTGTCATCTTGTACCATTGTCATGAGTAATGTTCCTTTATTTCACGTACAACCATGTTCCATCAATTTGAATAATAGGTTTGCAGAATGCAAAAACTTTGATGCATGGTTCATATGCCTAAAAGAGTCGATGAAATATTATATTTCCACTAACAGAAGTTCTGTCTAGGGTAAATGCTGACAGTGTCTCCAAAATTGCAACAATCCCGAGAGCATAATGCTTAAGTACCACCAAATATTATGGTTCTTTATACGAATTATCCCAATTTTTGTATACTCGTTCAACAACCTTATTCATCGCTATCCATGTCTTCCTATATGAGGGAGTATAATGGCATCATGTAACGATATTATTGTACTCACCGTCAATGATGAGTTCTTGTTAATGAGAGATAATATTTTGTGACATATTATCTAAGAGCTTAGTTTATGATGATCCTGCAATGGATTGGTGATAATGCAAGAGTGAGGTGGATACGTAGAACTTATCTCCCAAACAACTCTAGAGGAGGTTATGCAATAGGTAAGGGTATAAGAAGAATGGTTAACAAGAGCAGCATGCAATACTTTAATTGTCAAAAGTTTGGCCATTTTATACGAGAGTACAATTTCAACAAGAAGGAACCTCAATAAGATGAAGCTAGAGTTGCAAGATAAGTGCTTGATGAGTAGACCACACTATTAGTTATGATCACATAGGGAGAATACAACAACAATAGGTTGCAAAACAGTATCAGCAACAACAATTTAAAAAATGCTGCAAAACTAAAGTGCAACTGATCAGTGGGTTTTAGTTGTGTTTTTCAAATTGTGTTTGTCGTTATTTTGCATTATTTTTATCCGTTTTTGAATCTTTTGTTTATGTTGTCATAGTTATTTTCAGCCGCCTTTGTGTGAGTCTTATTTTGAGGTTTGTATCACTTTTGCCGCTGGTGCGTTTGATTTGGTTGTTTTTAGTGTGTTTTTGGCAGGAATTGGTGACTTGATATCCATGCCATTTCGGAGATGAAGAAAAGTCGAAAAAATGGAAATCAGAGGCCTGACACGGGTGTCCGTGTTGCACAACACGGCCCGTGTCAGGTGGGACACGGATGAAGGACACGACCAAGATGAGAAGAGAAAATAGGAGAACAGAAGAGCAACACGGGTGCCCGTGTCACACAACACGGCCCGTGTTGCAGCCCCTGAAGAAGAAAAGCCACACCCCTTGAGCAGCAGCCTGACATGGCCACCCGTGTCCCATGACACGGCCCGTGTCAGGACCACTGATAGTGAATTTGTCATTTTTTCCTGTTTTGTGCTATCTGAGCTGTTTCGAAGGGCATTTTAGACATTGTGTGATGTAATTTGAATTTAGATATATTAGCGGTATTTTGGCTAAGACTTTTTGGACTTTTGGATTGGGATCGAATTTTTAC